ACCTTTACCCGGATTCGTAAACAATAACAAAATAACTTAAAGTAGATAAAGTACAATTACTTTTATGTTTACGGGAGATAATAAATGTATACAAATTCATCCAGTTAAAAAAAACAAACAAATACGTTTACTTCATTATTCTGATTTAAATTAAATCATAAAATATTGTCTGCCCTTGTGGCCCGCTTTCACGTGGGCTACGACTGCTTGCCACGAATCTCCCCGAATAGTGGCGAATCAAAATTAATCGTAATTCGTTGCGATTCGGCAAAGAAATCAAAAAGATCGTAGAGAATCGGGGGTAGCCACGAAGCAGTTACGAATAGTGACGAACGAGTTACGATGATTCGTGGGTAATGGGGTGAAAAATATGCCGAATGTCAAGGTATAGAGAGGGTTACGATAAAGGTACGAACTGAAAGAATCCGGAATTGTACTAGCGAGTCAGTTACGATAAAGGTACGAAATGAAAGTAACATTTAGGAATTGTACTAGCGAGTCAGATACGAATGAGTTACGAAAGTTTTTGACAAAGTTGTTTGTCAAATACTATCGTGGTCGAACTACGGACTGCTACGAACCATACGATTGTGTATAAGATCAAATAAGAATCACTTACGAACTTCAAGAAACCATCTACGCTTCGTGGCATTCAGGTGCCACGGTGGCTAGGTGGGTAAGACGCTGGCTCGCTAGCCTGGAGGTCGGGTGTTCGATTCCTGCATTGGCCGAGAAAGTTCATCGGGATTTTCCGAAGTGGTTTCCCCTTGTCAGTGGTGTAGAACGAAAGGGACTGACAAGGACAGCTGTCTAGTCCTTCGGGTGAGACGAAAAACCGAGTTCCCGTGTATACATTTGAATGCACGTAAAAGATCCCTTGGCAGTTAAAATTCGATATAAGAGTAGGCGATAGTAACGCTGCCCGGGCAAAATTTCCCTCATAGCACACGGTTTGGCGTATGCCCGTCTTCATTAGCGCAGTATAGGAGCAGAACAGTAGGACGTTAAACCCATTCATTTCATTTCATTTCATTTCGTGGTATTCGTAGCCCGTATGAAAGCGGGCCATGGGTAAATATATGAATCCAAACCATGAATGTATACAGTTACCCAATCACCAATACAAATGAAAGATGAGCCGTCTATAGCTTCACGCAACCACATCTTGAAAAGAGAGAGAGAGAGAAATGGGATTTAACGTGCACTCAACACGACCCAGTTCATTTCTGAACTAACATATTTTTCAATTTTATTTCAATGATTCGCTTATGCGTAGGAGCCTTTAGCAATGGGGGGGGGGGGACTGGGGGACGCTGAGGAAACCCACGAAGATGGGACAGGCGACCCTACCCCGTGACAGACCATTATGATACGTTGACACCCCATCCCCCAACCTGCCGAATATGAAGCAAAAGCAGGGATGTTCAGCAATTAGCAATAAGGTGTCATTCAAGCGATTGGGTATTCATATTCATCCCTGAATAACCCACTCCTAATAATTTAGATACGCAGCATCAAGGTGAGTCAACTACCCCCAATAGGTATCCAACAGTTTTAAACAAAAACTAGTTTATGGTTTATTCTCTTAACTATACGCGGGGGGGGGGGGGCGAATGGTTAGCACGTGCGCGCTGCGCTGTATCATACGGTCTGCCATTGAGTCAACTGGTGGGGTTTCGAATCCCCGGTTGTAAGTGACAAGAAGTAGGGTCGCCTGTCCAACCTCGTGGGTTTTCTCCGGGTCCTCCGGTTTCCTCCCACTGCTAAAGACCCCTACGCGCAAGCGAATTATTGAAATAAAATTGAATCATGTGTTAGTCTCGAAATGACCTAGTTTGTGTCGAGTGGACGTTAAACCCAATATCTCTCTCTCTCTTAACTATACGGGATCAATATAATATGGTCTACCATATTACAATATTCTAAAACATCTTGTTCTAAAAAAAATGTTTATAATTTATCTACCACCGTACAATATCATAATATTTAAGTGGCAATTAGTAACTGGTTAGAATTAAAACAAAAACACATACTTATTATGGCAAACATAATTATGGCATTAAGTAACTGGCTAGAATTAAAACAAAAACACATATACACCAGCAGTTGTTTTTAACGTACATATTGCTTTGTTTGTGCAATATCATTACCTAAAAAAAATTACGATATATATCTACCACCATACACTATCATGTTCTACGAAAAATAATGTTTTACAATATATCTAACAATCAATTGATGAACATCGCGAAGGAATCGGCGATGTCACGTTACAGGTAACCGATTTCATCTAGAAATTTGATAACCAGTTACAACATTATGTAATATACGTGTTTTTCCCATAGCAATTAGTTTTTCATCATCAAGCCGTCCAATTATCAATGGCGTGCAGAGAGGGACGACGACCCCCGGGCATCCGCACCGGGCATCCGATTCAGGGGGAACTTAATCAAAGAGTGAAATTAATTATGTTTTTTTTAATATTTAAAACTATCACCGTTAACTTGAATGATAAGAAAAACACTACTTGTCGACAAGTCGTGCTATATGGGTATAAATCAGCGATTGTTTTCGATAAAAAAATACCCTGGGCATCCGTATCGTAGAGATATCTAATCAACGACTGACATTGACTATGTTTTTTTTTTTTTAATATTTAAAACTGTTAACTGCTCAATCGCTAAATGTCAATCAGAGATTATTTAATCTGTTTTTACATAGGCCTACTTGAAAAATATCTTCTTTTCTCAAATGTTTTAGCGAGAGAGAGGGAGAGAAATGGGGTTTAACGTCCACTCGACACAACCTAGGTCATTTCGGACTAACATATGGTTTAATTTTATTTCAATAATTCGCTTGCGCGTAGGGGTCTTTAGCAGTGGGAGGAAACCGGACGACCCGGAGAAAACACACGAGGTTGGACAGGCGACCCTACTTCTTGTCACGTACACCCGTGGATTTGAAACCACGCCAGTTGACTCAATGACAGACTTTATGATACAGCGCGCACTTGCTAACCATTCAGCCATCCAACCCCACATATGTTTTAGTATTAGGCCCTATAGTTGAGGAGTTGGGACATACAAACTTTACACTTTATTCAATTCTTTATACGACTTATCAGATACAATGTAATAAAAAATACAATAAATAAATATAATATACAAATATATACAGTTATTGTTTAGTATTGTTATTGACAAAGACCTAAAATACACATTTCGTTTGTGGTCGGAAAGTGAAAGATATAAATAAAATTGAACTTTATTTAAAACTGTGTAATGACTCCACATAAATCTTATAAATCTAAACAAATTATATATTATGGTATAATTCTATTTTGAAAGAAACCAAATGTATTCATTACGTTTTTTATCGGTAAGAGAAAGATATAAGCCTAGATTATTCAGTTCTTTGATATTTTGTACCGATAATAAATGAAAAATTTTAAAAAGATTCGGGTTAAGAAAATAGTAAGATTTTATATATTTTTTCCTATAATCATATAAATATGGATATATAATAATATGATGGTATTCATCTTCTATTTTTTTCAAATTACATAATTTACAAATTCTTTTTGCACACTCTATTTTCTCAAAACGACCAGTTTCTATGCACAAATTGTGGGAAGATAAACAAAGGCTTAACAAAGGGCATCACTAGACCTATTCACGCCACTGCGTCCAGTGCTCTATATCGATAATTTACCTCAATTGGAATTTAATTTATAAAATTGTGAGCGGTAGAAATGAAATAATGGCCCTTGATTGGATCAATAGCGGCATAAGTATTCCGACTTTTTGTCTGTTGTACAAACATTCCCACGATTGCAAGTGTGAAACCTGTTGTTTACAATAATTGTAAATTTTAGCGCTTCCTTGTAAAAATACGGCGTTGCGTAATAATTATTATTACGCAACGCCGTATTTTCACAAGGAAGCGCTAAAATCTATACCTAAATTTATCGGCACAGATTGTATGTGGTCTGTAATGTGGTCTGTAATCTGGTCACCCACAATGGAGGTGTGATATCCTTAAGGTCATATCATACATGTAATTCGCTAATTGAATATTTACCGATAATAGCAGTTGTGGTTCGACTCGGCGCCCCTTTGGTTTGGTACCTTAATTTTATTGATAGGACTTTAAACCTCATTTCTTAGATGCCAAAAAATACGGCCTTAGCCATAATATTTTCGCAGGGAAAATGGCAGTAACACATAATGAAAGGAAAGTGCTCTTTGTACTTTAATTAGTAGACCTCATTATAAATGAAAATAAAAATATGTACGTTCATTCGTTCGTTCTTTCCTGGAGTTTTACGTTCACATCCACTAAGGGTGATATAGACAATACCCCCCCCCCCCCAACAGATTTATACTGATAGTCAACGGTTGTGTTGTTGTTGCGTATAGACAATGGATGAAAAGTGAAAGTTCATAATAAAACGTGTTTTGGCTTTTATAAAATAGGTTCCATTATACAAAAGAAATCAGGGAACAAAGCACGGATTAGATACCTAGCAAAACCGGGCACCAATTGAAACCGCGAGAGCAAATGCTTTAAATTCCTGTCCATTGTTGAATTATTGTTATTACTATGCGCTATATCAACCCGGCCATTAAAACACTTCTGTAACAATACATTACTCTGTAATTTCATCTAAAAACAATTGGACCAAAGCGCAGCAAATGAATCCATTCTGACACTAACTAAGCCCAGTATCAAATAAATCGAACTGTCTTAATTGAAATACAAATTGTGTTAAGTGATCTCACACAAGAAGGTTCGTTAAGAATTAGTCATCACTTCTTGATTAATTGTTCACTTTGTTATCTAAAACCACGCTTCGGGTTGTTTGAGTGATAGTTCTTTCATAAATTTTCGAGGGATTCACACCTTTAACCAAGACACCCAAGCGTTCGTCATTTACCAATTTAATTATACGCTAATTTCTAGTCCTACTATAAAATATAAATATGTGTATGTGAATTTATTGCTTCATTTTTGAAACTGACAGAGAGTGTTGTGAATCGTACACAAACGGTTGTTTAACATTGTAGTTCATTATTCAAGGATATAGTTTTTGCACGTGAATAGTGCTGGGTTTCTTCGTGTTGTTGTTGTTGACTTTGTTTGAATAACATATCGTCACAGGTTTGGGTATATCATCCCTCGATACAAAATATCCAGTTATCGTCTGACGGAGTTGAATGTAACAATAGACATACTACAGAAGGAAGACATCTCTTGTTTATTGTTTCCAACAGGATTTTTGGACAAGAAAATGCACTTTGCGTACTAGAAAGCAATATGTACAAACCCTAAACGAAACAAGTAACGCATGAACTACAACATAAACAATATCCCGAAACATAGTATTTAACAACGGTTTGTTTTCATCGCTGTTTAGAGACACTGGTTCTGACCAAGTTGACAATTGCAGATCGCGAAAAACGCTAGACCACTACAGTCATTCAAGATTCAAGTCAGTTCAAGAGTCAAACTTTACTAAAATCAGGCTGTTTTCTTGAGACCAAGTTGAAATTTGCAGATCACGATAAACACTAGACAAGAATAGTTATTCAAGATTCAAGTCAGTTGGTGTTGAGAGTCAAACTTTCCTAATATGGTCATACAATATGTTGTTGATTGTAAAAGTCCTACAAAAGGTATGAAATTTTATTCAGTTTTTAGAGACAACAATTTTGTAAAGCTCATGGGATGTGGTCATAATGGCCATAAACCATGACGACGACAATTAACGTTGGTCAAATCGGCCACAATTCACCATGGCCAAAATATTGTCATAGCGGCCATAATGTTGTCATGACGACCAACATATTGGACATAGCGGCCAAAATATAAGTCAAAACGACCATAATGTTGTCAAAACGACCATAATGTAGTCAAAACGACCATAATGTAGTCAAAACGGACAACATGCTTACTTAACCGCTGCTGCACGTCTGGGTGTCCTATTTAGTTTTGATTATACGTTTAAGTTTAGAAGGAAATGGACCATTCTATAAAAGTATGAACGGTCTAGTGTGTGTATGTGTATGTAAAAAGAGTACTCTTCGTAAAGCAGGGATCTATCTTTCTGCAGCGGTTGGTACGCCATTAGGGGGTTGGGTGGCTGAATGGTTAGCACGTGCGCGGTGTATCATAAAAAGCCTGTCATTGAGTCAACTGGCGTGGTTTCGATCCCCGGTTGTACGTGACAAGGAGTAGGGTCGCCTGTCCAACCTCGTGAGTTTTCTCCGGGTCCTCCGGTTTCCTCTCACTGCTAAAGACCCCTACGCGCAAGCGAATTATTGAAATAAAATTAAACCATATGTTAGTCCCGAAATGACATAGTTTGTGTCGAGTGGACGTTAAACCCCATTTCTCTCTCTCTCGTCCTTGTCAGGCCATCCGTCAAGAAAAGATTTCATATGATTAAGTTCGTCTTCATAACGCAAATACTACGACATTAAAATTTTACCATGACATGAATCTGGTACAGATGATTCCTTTTCTAAAACTATATATTTTTTTAAATGAAATGAATTCGATTTAACGTCCTACTGTTCTGCTCCGAACTGGGCTAATCAAGACGGGCATACGTCCGTCATACAAGGTGCTATGAGGAAAATTTCGCCGGGAAAGTGGCACTACGGCTTACTCCTATATCGAATTCCAACTGCCAAGGGATCTTTTAGGTACACGCCAATGTGTACACGGGACCTCGGCTTTTCGTGCCATCCGAACATCTAGACAGCTGTCCCTGTCAGGCCCTCCATCTTGTATCGCTGACAAGGGGAAAACACGCCAGAAAATCGGGTAGAACTTTCTCGGCCAATGCAGGGATCGAACACCCGACCTCCAGGCTAGCGAGCCAGCGTCCTACCCACTTAACCACGTGATGCCCTAGTAGTTCGAATGTTACGAAAAATAGAGGTCCTGTGTACACATTTACGTGCACGTAAAAGACCCCTTGACAGTTCGAATTCGATATAAGACAGCTATCTTTGCCAGACCCTCCCTATATATTTGAATTATCACAGTTTTAGCTTAGCGAACTCTTAGTTAAGTGATATCAGATTTATTTCTAATAAATTCATTAGCCCAGGTTAGGAGCAGAACAGTAGGACGTTAAACTCTATTTCATTTCATCAGAATATATAAACATAATACAGAAGGATAGCAAGACGTATATCCACATTGTTTTAATAAACTTTGTACTGGAAAAAAAAAACACCTGACGAAACATTTTGCCAACAGTGTAATTAATTTGTTTACGTCTTTTTGTTTTTACACTACCTATTCATTATATATATACATAATATAAAGATACCATATAATTACGGATATTACTTACAAATTTATAAATTACAAGTAAACCTGTATTATCAAAATATAAAAACAAGTCAGAGCTTCTATATATTCATCTCCACAACGAAATTAGTTACAAAATTATATATAATGCTTAAAATTATAATTTATAATGTTTAAAATTATAATTATATAATGTTTAAAACTATAATTATATAATGTTTAAAACTATAATTATATAAAGAGTTTAATAATTATAATATAAATAATGTATATTATCAAAGAACCGTATAGTGTAGCTACTGGGGCGTTATTGCTAATTAAATGAAATCGGGATTAAGGTTTAACGCTATAATGTACTATTATAGATATAAGGGAACTTTTGCCCAGATAGCGTCGCTGAAGCCTACTATTATTTCGAAAGTCAACTTATTGAGGTCGATTCTTCTGACAACAGAGTATCATTTGCAGAAGTTTTAACCAATGAACGGGGGAATGAACCTCCTACTTTTCGGGACCGGTAGGGCTAATGAAGTTTCCCGCATGTCATACTTCATGGCGTATGCCTGTCTTCATTCACCCGGAAGGTGTAGAAAAGTAGGAAGTCAAATGTCATTTCATTTCTGACAGTGGCCAAAGACCCATGACTGCGTTAACGACTTATTGAAATTAAGTAATACCCTAATTAACGTTAGCCTCGAACAGACAAAAATTTGTGTAGAGTCACCACTCCACTCCCTTCCCACCCAGGAGCGGATCCAGGAATTTTTGCAGGAGGGGGTTTGCTAGGTTCTGAGAAAATGTATCCTACCCCCCTCGGCTTGAAATTTTTTGAGAAATACATGGTCTCTATCGTCATTTGGCCCACCCCACCCCTCTGGATCCGCGCCTGCCACCTGAAGCGGGTGTGTATATCTAATATGTTTTCCAGTCTAGATACTGAGTACACACTTGCAATTTGTAAATGCGACTAGTTATACATGACTAAAAAAGAAACATCACCTGAAATTACTTACAATTTTGGAGACGATGTTGGTGTGAACAACTAGATTGCGGACTGAAAACGACTCGGCTCATTAAATCCATTCTTCTAATCGCCCTCTCTTGTGGACAATTCGTTTGTGACCGAAACTAACCGTTCATAGCCGCAACTGGACGAAACCACGGGAATATTCGAGACGGAGTTGATCTGGTTAAAATTAACTTAAGTTTTCATAGCACTAAAGCGGTGATAAGTGGTAGGATTTGTATATAGACTGACGTAGACGCGGAGATCGATACTACCAGACCTCCAAATCCTAAAATAGAACACTAAACGATATGACCCCTATCATTTATGACATTATCATTAATGTACTATTGTTAGCTTGACACAACATAGACACGTTCATATATCTTATGAAATTTGTCAATAAACCGCCTTTAGTCCTATTTAATGATAGATCGGCACACTATGACAGGAAAAATGACAGTAGTCAATGTGGCCAATAATTTGATCTACTGCGCGGATACAGAAAGACATCAATTGTCAAACGGCGACCTCAAAACTTTCTCGACAAATTATGTATAGCTTTAACAACATCAATATTACCGTGACATATTTCTAGTGTTCAGACAGTCAAAAAACAATCAATCATTCAGAGTTGATCTTATTCACTAAAAATAAAACTGAAGCTTCTTTGTGGTTTTATTGTATTTCATTCGATAAATTTACATATCTGTTTTGACATAAAGATATCAACAAAATAAACTACTCGCGTCTTTACTATCAGGCGACAATTTTGTTTTTTTCGACTTTGAAGTTTTCGATTTGACACATTGGGAATAGGGGTTCGGGCGGGGGGGGAGGGGCTAACATGTACGGTTTAGATCCTAAGGTGTGTCATTGAGTCACGTGACGTTGCTTCGCTCCCAAGTGTACGTGACAAGGCGTGGGATAGCCCGTCCAGCCTCGTGGCCTTTCTCTGGTTCCTCTGTTCCCCCTCTACCCCACCCCCTGCACTGCCGAAGACCCCTCCGCGCATGCGAATGATTGTAGGCTTGCCCGTCCAGCCACATGTTTTTTCTCCGGGTCTCCTTCCACCCCAGCACCGCTGCTAAAGACCGCTCTGCGCAAGCGAACTTTTGAGATGTGTTAGTAACGATGTAGTCTAGTTTGTGTTGACTGCTAAGAAGATCCAAAAGTACACACTGGCACGCATGTAAAAGACCCCACAGCAGATAGAATTCAGAGAAAATTAGGTCGACAAAAACTTCACAAGCCAGACCATATAAATTTATATTAGTCTCAAATGACCAAAGTATTGTGCAAAAGCCATATTTAGGGTACACCCAACCCAATATCACAGCTTTTAAAATCAGTCGACATCTAAGTCATTCATACAATATATTTGGTAACATTTAACATGTCAGAGCCAGAAAATCTATTTATGGTATTTATGGGGAAGGATTTGGGATTGTTAACATAATTTCACCCTTTTTAATTGTTATGAGTAATGTCCATTTTATGTTGTGTAAATTATATTTAGAAAAGATAACAAAAAAAAATTGAATATGAAAAAAAAACGAAGCGCCAGTTTGGGCTACAAATAGATGACACATACTCGTAAACACGGGTGGTGGACTAGATCAATGTGAATACATCATATTAAAGAGAGGGTTATTGGGAACATAGAGGATTCCCAAGTAGTCTTTAAAGACATAGTTTAGTTTTGAAATCAGATCCGTGTTGTCAATTTAATAACAAAACACAAAACATTTTTTTTACTGTATATTATTACTGTTAGATTAAAGAGATGATGACTGGGGACCATAGCGGATTCAAAATGAGTCTTTGAACACGTGAAGAAATCGTGTAAATTTTACAACCGATCCCGGGTTGACATTTTAAAAACCAAACGCGTAAACGTGTATTAGAATACCGAAGTTTTCATAATGTATCGATCGTCTTCATTAGCCCAGTCGGTGCAAAACAATAGGACGTTAAACCCCATTTCCTTTCAGTTCATTTAAATATTAAATAGGCATAGCTATAAGCAAGTGTACATAGATGTGAAACCATGACAAAATATCAAATGTATTATACGGCGTTTAAGTATACGCTGTTATGTACACGACACTCGTTGTTACTTCTATTATTTGCAGTGCATTAGGTTACAAGGGACAGGGATAGGGAACACAGAGGATTCAAAAATGTTTAAATTTGTCAATAGTATTTTGTAAATATATAGCCACGTGTATTAAAGTCTTAATACAGTGGAAATTCGGAATAAATGTAAATGACATAACCATACACCCACTGATGCATGACGCCTGTCATTACTTAGAGTAAAAGTACAAGAATGGTTTGATTGAC